GCTTACAGCATTTTTAACTAATTGCCAAAATGCCTTGGAGCTTGCGTCCGAGAATCAAAAAAATTTACTATTTAAATTTATTATATCACGACTTGAAGGAAAAGCTCAGATAACATGTTCAAACAAAGTTTTTTCAAATTTTGAGGACCTTAAGTCCTTTTTAAGACAAAATTTTGGAGAGAGAAAACATTATAACCATCTTCTATTAGACTTACAGTCATGCAAACAAAGTGCAAATGAGTCAGTCGCCCAATTTGCATTAAAAATCGAAAGCTGTTTAACCGATTTACAAACCGAAATCCATAATTCTGACTCATACAAAAAAGATATACCAGGTAGAATCGCAATGACAGAGGATCTAGCTTTGTTCACTTTTTGTTTAGGGTTGAATCCTAAATTATGTAATATTGTGCGTTCAAGGCATCCGAATTCCTTAAATGATGCTATAAATATAGCCTTAGAGGAGGAGAAAATACAAAATCTAATATATAACTCTATTTCTAAGTCTAAATGTAAAGTTTGCGGAAAGCTAGGACATTCCGAGAATGAGTGTTTTAGTAAACAGAGACGCGTAAGTCATGGTAGCCAACCAATTCTTGTGCCCTACAAGCCTTCAGCGTTTACGCCATATCAAGGTAAACTTGCCTTTGAAAATTCTTCACCTATTATTTGTAGGTATTGTAAAAATATAGGTCATGATATTTCCCAATGCCGAAAGCGACAATATAATAACTCGAGGTTTCACAACCAAGGTAACAAGAACCAAACATATTACAGGCAAAACCAAATTTCAATCGAATCGCCGCCGTCGCCAGTTCTGTGTAATGAAAACAATGACAACAATCATTTAAACTGAAATATCGGGTATCAAACTTTTGCCGCCCGATGCCCGATACTCAGAATGGCGCAAAAACAATTGAACCAATTTCTTCGAAATCGATAAAATTACCCAATATGGTCACTGTATCCTCTGTTTCAAAGAATCGTAATAAATCCACTGTATCTAATAATAATTCTATTTCCACTGTTTCTAACACTGTATCCACTGAATCTAATAATTACACTGTATCAAAAAATCCTAACAAATCCACTGAATCCGACTCATCATTAACTTCTATCTCGGCACCTGAGCCAATCCGTAATGATGGTCCCTCTGAGTCTCCACTGTCTTCTATTTCGCATGAGCGTGCCACTGGCAGTGAAAATACCTCTCTTAATATAAAAAAACGAAAAATTTCTAAATCCACTGTGTCCAAACCTATAAAAAAACAAAATCTACTAGACCGACTCGACCTAGAGGAATGTCCCATGATCTATGACATATCTCAATCAAAGAAAACATCTCTCCCATACATCCAAGTTAATACGTCTCATTCAAAAAAAAAACCCTTAAGCTATTAATAGATACAGGTAGTTCTATTTGTTTAGTAAAAGCATCTAGTTTAACAAGTCCACTGAATCTTGAGTCGAACACGGTTAAATTTAAAGGAATTAACGATGTCAATTCCTACTCGGAAACAAAAGGCAGATTAATGCTTTCTATAAAATTAAATAGTAAAATTTCTTTCCCATTCTATTTCCATGTTGTTGATAATGTGAACCTTGATTATGATGGAATTATAGGTTCTAATTTCCTAACTACTAACAAAGCGACGATATCTTATTCAGAATCAAAATTACAAGTTTCCGACGAGCCTCACGTATTCTTCGAATTAAAAACTGCTGAACCAATTTATGTAATTCCGGCCCGAAGTGAAATGTTGATAGAGTGTTCAGTTTCTAATCCGGACTTAGAAGAAGGATTGATATTAAATACGACATTGCAAGCTTATCCAAAACTCTGTTTCTCGAAATGCCTCACTAAAGTCAAACCTAACGGTAAAGTAAATGTATCAGTACTAAATACATCGGAACATGATGTTACACTACGTTCCATACAATTAACCTTAGAACCAGTTTCATTCATATTGGAAAATAGCAATTCAGACTCTTCCGAATTTATTAATTACGTTTCTCCCGAAAATTCTATCTCTAGTCTTAATCGAGAAAAATTAATTCAAGACGCGCTTCGCTGTGAGCATTTGAATAAAGAGGAAGAAGGCGCCTTGCGTACTTTATGTTCGGAATTTCACGACATATTTTATTTAGAGGGAGACCAATTAACCGCAACAAAAACAATTAAACATGAAATCCGTACAACATCACAAACTCCTATACACGTTAAAAGTTATCGTTTCCCCGAAATCCATAAGGAAGAGGTTAGTAGACAAGTAAAGAATATGTTAGATCAAGGTATCATATCTCCATCTGTGTCCCCGTGGTCTGCCCCTATCTGGGTAGTACCAAAAAAACAAGATGCATCTGGTAAGCCTAAGTGGCGCATCGTAATCGACTATAGAAAGTTAAATGAAATCACAATAGGAGATGCCTATCCTATTCCCAATATCACGGATATATTAGATCAATTGGGGCACAGCAAATATTTTACTACACTTGACTTAGCATCTTCCTTTCATCAGGTAGAAATGTCAGAATTTGATGCTGAAAAAACCGCTTTCAGCGTTCCCGGTGTTTTCGGACAACCAGGTCACTACCAATTTAATAGAATGCCATTTGGCCTTCGAAATGCTCCATCTACATTTCAAAGACTTATGAACATCGCACTGTCCGGTCTTCAGGGTATACACTGTTTCACATATATGGACGATATAGTCATTTTCGGTCATGACCTTGATACCCATATTCGTAAATTAAGACATGTATTCGAAAAATTACGTGAACATAACTTAAAACTTCAACCCGATAAAAATGAGTTTCTGAGAAGGGAAGTTCAGTATTTAGGTCACATTATATCAGATGAAGGAGTGAAACCTGATCCAAAAAAGGTCGAATGCGTACAAAAATTCCCAGTTCCTAAAAGCCCACGTGACATAAAGTCGTTTTTGGGACTAGTTGGTTACTATCGCCGCTTCATAGACAACTTTTCACATATCACGAAACCTTTAACTAGCCTACTAAAGAAAGACACAAAATTCGTTTGGCTATGCGATCAACAGAATGCTTTCGATCTCCTTAAAAGTAAGATAACTACTGCACCAATTTTGCAATATCCAGACTTTACTAGACCTTTTGTACTCACCACCGATGCCTCCAATCACGCCGTCTCCGCAATCCTATCCCAAGGCGAAATAAATAAAGATTTACCAATAGCATATGCCTCTCGAACTCTAAATAAAGCCGAAGGTAACTATTCTACCACCGAGAAAGAGTGTCTCGCTATAATTTTTGGCACGAAAGTATTTCGTCCATATCTTTACGGACGAAAGTTCCATATCGTCACAGATCACAAACCCCTACAGTGGCTGTTTAACTGTAAAGATCCCAGTTCAAAATTAATCCGTTGGAGACTCAAGCTCGAGGAGTATGATTACGAAATTGTATATAAAAAGGGAAAAATCAATTGCAATGCCGACTCTCTGTCTCATAACCCCATTCCTTTTACTGGTCCAGAAATCGCTGTTAGATCTGAAACATATAAAAACAATTTTTATATTAATAATAATAATACCCAAAGTCCTACCTCAGTTTCCTCTAAACATGTTCTTCCTGTTGACTCCGATGTCCCTTCCACATCTGAAACTTACGAAAAGTATTTACAAATTAGTCAACAACAAAATAATACTTACAACACTATAATAGAAGAACATAATGAATCACTGCTTAAAGCTAAATGCAAGATGATCACTTACCCGTCTGCTATCGATCTTGACGACTCTATCCCATACTGTTCTGAAATTATACAATTATCCAAAAATCAGAACGACGTAAATGATATTCGAAACATAGAGCGCGAACTATACACATTTTATAGTACTTCGAATGACAAACATATATTCACACATTTATTTTTACGAGTCCATCACTACGATGAAATCTCTTATAAAGATATATTTAATATGCTGCGAGATTATAGAGATATGATAACTACTTGGTACATGGAAGAAAAGGAGTTCGCCATCTCAGATTTTAAAGACCCTTTTAACAAAATCTCATTCTTAAAAATTTACAATATGTTATCTTTCCTATTTCACAACACAGGCATCAAAATTCACATATATCACAATAACATCCTATTTCCGACTCCTCCTGAGGTCCTTAAAATATTAAAGGACCACCACGACTCACCCTCTGCAGGTCACCCAGGTATTACACATATGTATGATCAACTTAAAACAATTTACTGGTGGAAAAACATGTACCAAGATATAGAGAACTATGTCAAAGCATGCAAATCTTGCCAAATCAACAAGCCCATGCGTCATACGGGTAGAGCCCCGATGATAATCACGTCAACTGCTACAAAACCCACTGAAAAAATATTTCTGGATATTGTAGGCCCTTTACCTAAGACTACACCAAATAAATATCGATTCATTTTAACATTACAAGACGATCTAACTAAGTATTCCCAAGCCTATCCAATGCTAACTTGCTCAGCCCAAGAAACAGCCCAGATGTTAGTTCATTTCATTTCTCATCTTGATATACCAAGAAATATTGTCAGTGATCAAGGTACAAACTTTTGTTCAGATGTATTTAAACAATTAGAAAGACTTTTCGGAATTAAACATATATTCGCATCACCATACCATCCGCAAACCTGTGGTGCACTAGAAAGAAGTCATTCAACGTTAAAAGAATATTTAAGATCCTACATAGACGAAAATTATCATACATGGGACCTTTACCTAAATACTGCCATGTTAGCATATAACTCTAATGTTCATTCGACTACAGGTTATTCCCCTCTCGAACTCTTGTTAGGATTTAAACCCTATACGCCTCAATCCATAGACCGTTTAGAAAATAATACATATACAGACTATATCCGCGCACTTAATCATAGGTTATACTATAGTCGTAATAAAGCGTTACAAAACATACACAATTCAAAAGAAAGGTCGAAAAGATATTACGATTCCCATTCTAGGCCAGTAACATACAACGCCGACGATATGGTGTACATACGTTGTCACCACAAACAAAACAAAGCATTGTCGCCAGTATGGAAAGGTCCATATAAAATCATTAAAATAAACGGCAATCATACAGTGACACTCTTGATCAACCGTAGACATGTACGTCATCACTATGACGAAATAAAACCTGCCAACCTGTGAATCACTGTATGTAATAGTATCCTTCTCCGTCTCATTTCAGACACGTCACAATGCTGTGCTCGTGCCGTCAGTTTGTCTCACCGATAATAAGCAGTCCCGGATTATTCTTTGATAAGTTATTAGATGTAAAGTATACTAACGACGAATGGAACGTTGTAACATATATGGATATAGCTCGCGTCCAGCCTCATTTAAGTCATGTAGAACAGTTATTCGAAAAAATAAACACATTTTGTAAAAACTTCGCCTCTTCAAAAGTTCAAACGGACTGTTCGAATTCTCTTTCATCACTACAAAGTCTACACGTTAATAATGTTAAAAAGTTTTCTTCTATATCATACCTTATTTATGGACATCAGCCTCGCGTTAAGAGAGGTCTGATAGATGCAGGTGGATCATTACTCAAATCCTTGTTCGGAACATTAGATTCGAATGACGCTATTAAATTCTCAGAAGCTATCGATGATGTACAGTCAGACGAAAAACAGTTAGCTCATTTAATGAAAGAAAATATTCATGTTATAAAGTCTACAGTATCTACCTTTAATGACACATTGTACAAAGTTACTGAAAACGAAAATAGGTTAAATAAAAATTTTGATATTATCAATAAAATGTTTGAACAAATTACAAATTCTAATGATAAGCTAGAAATAAAAACCCACTTAAATTCTATGTTAAATTGCCTTGACAGCATAATTATTACATTATCGTTCGATATAGAAGATATTAATAACGCAATACTATTTAGCAAATTAAATATTCTGCATCCGACTGTACTAAGTCCACATCAATTATATAAGGAGCTCGAACGCAACACAAATAACTTGCCTAAGCATTGCGAACTCCCTGTATCCTTATCACTACAAAATATACATGATATCATAGATGCATCTAAACTAGTTTGTTATTATCATAACAGTAGAATTATTGTAGTTATAAAAATACCGCTCGTCCTTCCTCAACTTTATAATCTTTACCATGTAATACCGATTCCAGTGCCGTATGATATCTCAAAACCTGACACCTATGCGCTAATCGCGCCGACTGCTCGTTATGTGACAATAACAGCTGATCATTTGTTTTATTCATTTGTTGACGATGTTTCCAAGTGCAAGCTAATAAGTGATAAATACTATGTGTGTGATTTAAACAACGTGTTTTCTACTATTGCGTGGCCAATGTGCGAAATAGTGTTGATAACGGAAGTAGTGAGTAAATTGCCAAACTCTTGTGAAGTGAAACTTTTAAAAGGTAACATAGACACGTTTCATAGAATAAGTAACAATCGATGGATCTATGTCCAATCGGAACCCGGGAAATGTCACATTTCCTGTGATAATGATTCCAATAATTATAATGAATTACTGTTTGGTATAGGTATATTCAAGTTAGAAGAAAATTGTAAAGCATTTTTCAAAACTCTCCAGTTTACGTATAAGAATAGCATAAGGTTAAATGTAAGCGCTACTACTGAAATTTCAAATTTCAACCTCATCGAAGATGACTGTTGCGAAAAGAATAAACTAAATAAAACTTTATCGAAATTGCCTTTCGTAAAATTAAATAATGTTCATAATTTAGATTCACTTTTGCATGCTAGTGTCCATCTAGACAGTTTCGAAAAGGAATTAGACAAGTTAGAAAATCCTACACATTTTCAAAAATATAGTGTTCAATACATGTCTGTAAGTTATGTTGTTTCAGTTATATTTCTATTGTATCTGTTATATAAGAGTAGAAAATTTATGTGTAAACGAGATTCGTCACGTTACTGTGTTCAAATATTTAATAACTGTAGCAATAAACAGTCTGGTTCTAAACAACCTATACAAGTTGTAAGCACTATTGATAAAGCAAATAAAATCACCGACTCTTCAGATACCGAAGAACTAGAGATCCAGAATCCAACTCCAGTAAAAAGAAATATTATCTTTAAAAAGTCATCCCAATATCAGAATTAAATAAAAACAACATTATACTTAGTTAAATAGATATTATAGAATCACTGGGTCACTGGTTCATCTTAACTTTACTATTTGTCTATTATTAGTATTCACTTAATTCTAATAATTTTGAATGTAACTCTAACATAAATAATAATTTAATTATTACCAACTGTTAATTATATTAGTTCATTTAGTTTTCTATTTATGTTCTATTACGAATGTTTTAACTATGTTTAAACCTTAACTTTACTATATCAATCACTTCTATATTATTCTATATCTTATTACACTTAAGGCTCATTCTTTATTTGTCCGACTGAGTTTCACATCTTATCATATTGAATTTATCATCATTTTCAACTATGATGATAAATCTTAATGGGGGGGTTGTTATATAGCCGTGGTTATGTACAACATACGAACATAAAAGTGCTGAACTGCATTTTCGAAACAGTCAGCGGTTAACAATAAGGTATGCGTCATACCATCCATTTCCAGCGATTTTTCAGTATATTTTAATTCAGACCGGATTTGAACCTCAGACGAACAAGACGCTTTGTTAATTTTCATAATAAAGACTCGTGCTAATTAAAATAATTTTCTTTTTAAAAAGTCTCATCTGACCCACCCCGTAACAGTACCCAATAATTTACTGCTCTTGTTAAATAAAACCAAAATAAATAAATATCAGGAGAATGATGTTCCTGTCGATACAGGAAATGAGTAAAGAGAAGTTCTATATTTTAGGGCCGGAAATTAGAATTTCAATCATTTGGAAAAACCTGTAAAGTTTGACATAAGTAGATAATTGTTAGAAACATTCTTACTGAACGGACTTCTCTCTAACATTTTATATTAAATCCATGTAAATAATATTAATTTGGCATAAGCTATCTACCTATCTATCTACCACCACTTGCGTGCACTTATCTATAACTAATATATTTTAAAATAAAATAACAATTCCATGTATTGGAAAAAAAATAATTTGTTATTCAATAACTGAATGCAAAGTAAGTTTAAAATATTTAAAATATTTTCTTGGAAAATCTTTTAGAGTGTGAAATCATTAATCATTTTCAAAAGATCCAATATTTTGAAAATGATTAATGATAATTCGAGTGATTTTTATTTATTGAGTTATAAGCCTTATAAGTACTTACATGTATTCCTTATATTTTATTCAAAGCAAACTAGCTTAATATTATACTGCTTATAACATTCGATGCAACGGAATGAAAACTAAACATTAAAAAAAACTATTATAAAGCAAAAATTAATTATATTGTTGAAAAAATATAGTTTTATAATCTTCAGCTAATTATCGAAATTACAATATAATATAAATGATATATTTAATTATCTACTTAGGTTTCGAATATTAACTTATAAAATTAATGCCTATTATATTTTTTAAAATTAGAATCTTTGTATTTGAATATTTCATTGGAGTTATGAATATAAAATTTGCAAACATAAGCCTTTAAACCGTTTTGACTAAAGGGTTTAATGGAATTACATGGGAAACCACATTAGCATGTACCCGCTAGTTATGTGTTATTATACCGGATCCCTCAAGCCACAAGACCGGCGTTAACATGACACTGCTATAAAATACTAGACCGTTTTCTTCTTATAATATTATCATAATAACATACCTACACACGCGAAAATGATGAGAACATAATACGTCTTTATTAATATTTCGAGGAGCAAAATATTTAAAAATAAAATAAAGATGATTATGATTTCCGGTATACAAGTCAAGTATTCATATTTCGTCCAATGTGTAATGTAATGGTACTCCGTTGTCTTTCTTGGCACTATTTAACATGTAGTCATGGCTAACATAGCCATTTCGGCTCTACTAAGAAGCACAGAAGCTTCCTAATATCTTTACAAGCTTCGCGGAGGATTTATATCTAATAATATAGCCATAAAATGGAATAAATATGTTTTGTATGTACTAAACATAATTAATTTAATCTATTAACGAAGATTTAGTTTAAAAATTTAAATTAAATAATTGAAATGTTTCCCTATTTCGAATTCGAAGAAGTTTAATATATATATATATATATATATATATATATATATATATATATATATATATATATATATATATATATATTAAACTTCTATAATATATATATATATATATATACATTGACACATTTATTGTTCAATAAAAATAATAAATAACAATAAATTTAAACAAATGATCTATTATCAAGTAAAATATTTGTCGCCTGAATTGAAGCCAAATGTTTTAAATCACCCAAGAATTATACTTTCTTCTGTAATTTGTGATTTAGGGACATATTTTATATATACTATCATAAACCTAAAAAAAATATAAAATAACTCGTGTACTTATTTCATTTTTTATGCAACTTATGATACACAACTGAATGACAAACAAGCTTATCACCTACTTGATGGTGGTTGACACGAGCAGTATATCATGGACATAACAGAATTTTAAAAGCTCATTTTTTTGGGTATACCAAATTTAGACTCTCAGAATATCAACACAAATCTGTTAAAAATTCAAACGTTTAAAGTGAAAAACTGGAAAGATCATTCGAAACTCATTAGTATGCGTTTTTATGAAAAGGGCAATCTAAGAGGGCAATGAAAAGGAAAGCTCTGAATAGACGTTACACTTACGAGCGCAAAAAGAAAACAATGCAAAGAGGCCATTAACGGCGGCTCATTTATACTTTTCTAACATTTCTAATAAACTAGTCATTAGTTTGTATTCTTAGTTTTTAACAAAATCATTTTACTTCAAATGAGTACCAGTACAAATGGTGTACTTACAAAATATCTATCTATCTGTAAATTTTCCAGTTGTTGTTAAATGCAAAACTCGAGTGCGGCTGGACTATTTCAGCTTATTTTTCTTTTTCACATATTCGTTAAAGTTAGAGGAAGGTTTGTATCAGGAGAAAAATTGGAAAAAAAAATCCTGGAAAAACGTAAAAATATCAATTTTCTTATTCTCATTAAATTTTTCTGTTTTGATCCGATAGGGGTAAAAAACGTTGGTCGGGTCAGCTTTTTGATAATAAGTAAGTTTAAAAAAAATATAATGATTTCAATAATGACAAAATTATACAGAGTGAAATAGAAGTCATTGGCATGTTGTGACATTCCTTGTGTTGCAGTGAAACGGAATAATTTCACGAAAGCAAGTTGGGTCAAATGTAGCAAAAAATTGTGAGTCTCCCATACCTACTAAGGTGGCTCGTATAGCTGTTTAATTAGTATATAAATTTATGACATCCATACATTTCTTGCATTATCAATTTCATAGCTAGTCTAATACATACGAGTACACGCTTATTCTATTGATTTTGGTTTCTACTATAAAATGATAGCTGAAGATGTCCATGCACTTGTGATAGGGCATTTCGTCAGAACGATAACTAAAACACAAAATAACCATTCCCTGGTTCGTTGCCGTCCTGACCTAATGCCTCTCAGGTTTATTAAATTATAACCAGTAAATTAAATTATAGAGGTAGGGGCCGCCCTAGACGGACGTATGTTGACCAAATAGGCGACGTGCTGAAGAAGGGCCAAATTAAAAGTACCCGTAACCGGCGAGCGTGTATGAAAAGATTGATGAATGTGGAAGAAACGAAAGAGGTTTGTTTGAATCGAAGCATTTGGTGTTTCATTGTTTCTGCCTACCCTAATGGGAGACAGGCGTGACAGATATGTATGTATGTATGTAAATTATAACCATTTTTACTACTATAATTTTAAGTATAGTACTAACAAAATAGATCTTGTTGTCCGACATTAAATAAATTTGAATTTGACCGGTATATTGCCTATCTAATCAAGATAGAATAAACTCAATCTCTCCTAGTATTTGCATTCTTCCATTTTTCCGTTATATGTATAACTATTTCGGGATCCTTTTATCCAACATTCTTCTTGCATCAATAACGCGAACTATTTACAGTATGTTCTTTTTCAGTTTTATACCAATTCTTTATTTCAAACCATTATTCCTTTATTGTAAGCCTTACTTTGCAGATTTTATACAGTACTGGCCTTAATATTTATAGTCAAGTAAAACTAACAAGAATTTCTTTTGATTCATCCGTAGTAGGTTAGATATCTAATACAGCTGAATTTTATATTATGAAAAATGCTTTTATAATACCTCATGTTTTCTTAACAGCTTACATATTCGCCTTTTGTTAAAATCCTGAATGAAATCAGTGGTATAAAGAAGAAATTTGCTAATATTCTATAGGTAAATTAAATTAATTCATTAGGTGCTTAAGGTTCAATATTTGTTTTAAGAGACTTTATTTGTGCATTTACTAAAATTCATATGTAATGTTTTTTTTTGTTTTGTATATTTGTTTTTTAATTTATCTAATTGCTCTAATTTTCTAAAATCTTAATTGAAATTATACAATACTCGCTATTTAGCATTTTTTTACGTCGCCCTAAAATTTGTTAATGAAATCAATGAAATTAGAAATTTGTTGATATTCTTATTAATATCACAAATGTGAAAGTATGTTTGTTATCTCTTTACGCTTTAACTGTTTAAACAATCGTTATAAAATTTTGTATAAGATAGTTTTACTTAAATGGCTGTTACCACATTAGTTTTCGTTGGTAGTTTTGCTAGAAACGTAATAATAGAAGTTCGTGTCTGACTTTAAGTGTCTACCTAATATTGGTAGACTCACGTTTTAGTCCCTTTGACTTTAACATCATAGAAATGGGCAGCCTACAGTACTTTTTATTTTTAGTAACTTTAAAATGTGTGACAGCTCTTATAAGATATATTGTTATTAGCTACTAATTTTCGTCATAAACAGGACGACGTTAATTCCCACGAAAACAAATTTTATGACCTAAATGGTGTATAAAATGAGTATTTCCTTATCTGATTAACTATTATGATTTGTATTTGTACCTAAGGTTTTTGCAAATGAAAATCGCAAATTGCACCCACCTATGCCAATGATATACAATGGCGGTATATCATGTGAGTGAGGTGATGAAGATGAAGTCAGATCAGTTAGCCTATACTAGTGAATTCGCTATGGATTAACCAATTGCTGGCAATATACCCTATCAGGTTGACCTTCACACGGTTCCCCCTTGAAACCATCGTTGTTAATGCTTGTAGAATTTGTAACGATAAGCTAACTAACCTGCTTTCATTGTCACCTATCATACTTCATTGGCGCTCAGCTAGTGTATATCAATAGCACAAGCGAAGTAACCATTCCATTCTCGCCCTGAAAAAAAAATATACATCCGGCTAGCAAAAGGGCTGTTAGTAGTCATGAGAAACACAAGCAGAAAGGGTTGTTAATACCCTTTCTGCTTGTGTTTCTCATTCACAAATCTAATTCAACATAAGGAATGTTTCGGTTAAACTGTTCACGTGTTATATTGGCATACATATCACAGGCCAGGTTTGTTAACAGTTATATTTCTCTAGGAAACAATCTCAGATTTACCTTTACAACCATAATATCTAATTTTTAAATATCGAGACATATATTTACTTCAAGTAGAACTTTATTACGAGAACCAGAGATCAATTTTTTATTAATCTAATTAACACCATTACACGACTTTAATTTCTCGTCAATTCAGGTCAATTCAGAACACAAGTTGTATTTTTTTTTTATTTTTATCACAAATTATGTTTAAATGAGTAAAATTGATAAGCGGGTCTGTTATACTCGTTATTACCGTATTGATAATGTTATTTTAATTACGGTGATCGACTATGGATATCATTTTAAAATAACTCTCTATTGTTTCAGAAAATGTCATCGTCAAACAATAGAGCCAGTCGACGGGCGTAGTCTCATGATATCAATATCTGATCAGGAACTGATAGATAACATTATAAAATGGAATACCACCAGCATAGAAACAGAAGTAATTATAGAAAACACAAAAGAAAAATACAATATTACACAGAATATTTATCATATAGTAACAAGAGATGATGACTATCAAGTGCCAAGTGCGACGACGTTGTGTGATAATTTTAATATAAGTAAAAATAATTTAACTCAGCTTAATGAAACTTGTGAAATCGAAAATGATTATGATATATTTGAAGTGTTTGTAGTTATAATACTTTTTTTATTGATCGTAGTGACTGTTATTGGTAATACGTTGATAATTTCGGCGGTGGTGACTACTAAGCGGTTAAGGACAGTGACTAACTGTTTTGTGACAAGTTTGGCTGTAGCTGATTTGCTGGTTGGCATATTTGTAATGCCACCAGCAATTGCTGTTCATATTACTGGTATGTTACTTGTTTGCATGATATTTTATAATGCTTTAACAATGCCGTAATCAAATATGGATAGCAGTTATGTAAAAGTGTAGCTAAGATATCGCGCTTTTTCTATGCAACTATACTTGTGCCATTGACTGGTCGGGTACCAGTGAAAGAATATAGTGGAATAGATGAGGATAAAGTCCAGTCAGTTGAACTATATAATAGTTACGATTATTAATTTACCAGTATCATCAACCAGATGTTCGATCTGACAGGTTATATTGGTAGAAATGAACTAAATTCTATTACAATCCCCAAATATATAAAATAGAAATACTTGAACGTATACGGCCTTCTCTGGATAGATTTAAATATATAATTTGCAAGGAAAAGATTCTTGGTAATAGCGTTTAATAGCTCCATAGCTAACAATATAACGTATGAAGTCGATCTCCATGTGGTTCTATCTGGAGACTGTCGTGGTTAAATCTTGTAAAATTCGTCACAATGACCTTACTGATCTGGTTTCGTCCTAACTCATCATTTCTTACCATAACCCATAAGTATATACCGATAGCGCAGATGGAGTTATCATTTCATTTTCACTTGTTAAAAATAATATGTATGTAAATACTTCCACTGCTATATTCTAAAACAAAACTATAGTTTACATTTACGCTTATTCTACGTTTATCAATACCTTATGTTGTATCTAATTCATTCAAAACAATCTTCTAATATTAGATTATATAGATAGTGTCTCTGTATAAATGCTTCGTCAAAAACAAATCTACTTTTTTATCCATCTGTGTATGAATTGGGATACCAGATATATAAATATTTACTTTAAATTAAAGTACATAAGTGTTTTATACACTGTCGTAGTATAAATTATCATTATTGGTATTTATTTTATTCTGTATAATATTTAATTTTATTTTACATATACATTTAATTATTATTATATTAAAAATAACACAAATAATTTATATTGAAAATAAATCACCGTATTTGTGAAATTTAGATCCCATTATGAGACTTTCGAATACTTGCAATATTGAAAAATGGCGCTAATTCTTTATTCTACAGAACACTTTAAAAAAATCAAGTCTGCTAATTTGGCAGTTGGCAAACTAAATGTTGACTTGTTTTTGATACTCAATATTTCATCCATCCATGATGCCCCATGTATATAATCTAAGGTACTAATATTGTCTGTGTTTCTTTAGTTACAAACAAATTTTGTCATTTATACTACTAATGTAAAAGTGTCGCCCTCTAGTATCCAAAGTTTCCATGCTGCCTTCATTATATACGAAGAACCATATAATCTATGGGCTTCACTTATTATACTTGCGTTGAAACGAAAGTCTCTGACATGGCTTATTAGGTGACATCTTTATGTGCCCTCCAACAACATGAGCAAACAACAATCATTTTTAAACGATCCAAACATGAATTTGAAAATCCAGAGGCTTAGGCTGGGATTCGATTCTGGGATCCATGGACCGCAGTTAAGCGTTGTCCGATAAAGCTGACCGCATTGTCTTGGGTACTAGCATAGTATTAAGTTGTCTGCGTTGTGACATGGGGTGAAAATCCTTATAGAATCTTAATAGTAAAAAGGCAAAAAAACATTGTTTATATTTTTTTACATTAGAATGTTAAGTGTAGTTTTTAAAATTCTAACGGGCGAATCCTAAATAAACAAAACGGGGATAGATAAATAGTCAAGTTCATTGTTAGACTGAATTAATTTCATATATATTCCACAAAAATATTTAGCATGTTGTTTAAATGTAAAAATAAATATTACATCTGTAATATGTATATATATATATTATATCACCTCTGTCTCATTGTGTTTCAAACGTGAAGCAGTTGTGTTTGCATGGCTGTATTTCGATTTGAAGGGTGGGATATGGCAGTGAATTTACAGGGTACAGGATTGGCAATAAATGGAGGGTATCATAAGCGAAACAGTATACTCTGTTATGTCTATAGTATTGCTCATGTCTATAGGCGACGGTTACCACTTTCTATCAGGTGGGCCGTCAGCTTGTTAGCCATTCTAAGTTGTATAAAAAAAAACTTATATGTATTAATTCTTTTTGTTATTCTGTAGACAAAATAGCATAAAATGAATGAATGAGAATAAACCATTATCACTATATTAGCTCTTACCCGTGACTTCGTCAGCATGACCGAGATATATAAATTAACCAGGACTAAGTGATGAAACTTTATATGTATACGACATATAAAGTTTCATTACGATTGTTTGAGCTGTTAAGATGGCAAGAGATAAAAAAATCAAAGTACCTTACACATTTATAATATTAATAAGGATTATTAAACAAAAACAACGTGTCATGAGTTCTTTTCATCCATATGTAAGAATATATCGTAAGAGGCGACTAGGGGAACAAAGAACGATATAACAGTGCAGAAGAAGGGAAACTAGAAATAAAATCCCATAATAAGACGTCTGTCCAGTGTGGTAATAGTGGGATTCTTCTTTGTCCTTTTACCAAAGACAAAATTTTTCTTTGTGTCAGCCGTGTAACTGTTTTGTACAGACATATGTCCGTTGTAGCACACAATTTGATCTAAACTAATATTACAAAGAGAAAAATATTTTATTTTTTCGTTTATAATGGATAAATACAAAAATACCATACCCATTTAAAAAAAATACTTTACCTATAGATTAGTTATCTTAACAGCAAATAACACTGGTTGTTATATACTAGCTTAGACTATATAGATAGTATCTCCATACAAATGTTTCAAGAAAAACGGGTCAACTTTTTCATATAATTTTGCGGAATAAATAAATATTAGTGATTCCTTTATAACTTCTATATTTATTTTATTTTATAAATTCTGCATCTTTTTAATGCATAAACACTCATTTTAATTATTAAATAATATGTTATATATATCTTAAATAATAAGATACATTTTATGCGTAAGTATATAGAATATTGATAAAAAAAACGAGTCAGCTAATTTGACAATTAGCTTATAAAAGGTTGGCCCGTTTTTGACGCTCGATGCTCTATTTATATAATCTAAGGTTACTGACTTTTACCCGTGACATTGTCTGCGTAACTGGCAATATGTTGATTGACTGCCATAAACAGTAGCCTATGTTTTTCTTAATACCACTTAGTACTTGTATACCAAAATTTCGTTACGACAGCTTGAGCTATTAAAATACTAAAAGTAAGGAAATAAACAAAAAATCACTTTAATATTTATACTATTAGTAAATAAGTATATTGAGATAGACCAAATATGCGCTTCCAACAAAGGTTAAGAAACAATATAGCAAAAATTTACCAACCTCAACGACGAATCTTTGAAAGTAATACCAAAAATTATTATATTTATTCATGAGTACTAAAATTCCAACCCGCCTCATAACTTAAGCTTTTAGCGATTCATGACCTTTTCTTTGTTTATAGTCGATAAGATACAGTTTTGTGTCCGTTTAAAATAATATTATTTATACGTAGTTATGTAAAGTGTCTGAGAAGCTAAAAGCTTTTTTATGGGCTTATTATTTTATTTATCACAATATTTTTATTTGTTGAAGTTTCAATACGTTTATAAATACAAACTCTATATCAATCCAAAAATTTAAAAAATATTTCAAAGTGATTTTGATTCAAATTCTGTAGACTCGAATAGTTCAATGTACCTACTCACTTATACATACATTCTATTTTGTGGTTCTAAGCCTGATTATATATATTTTTTTATGAAACTTAGAATGGCAAATAAGCTGACGATCCACCTGATGGAAAGCAATAACCGTCGCCTATAAACATAACGTCGCCGAACACTTTGGGATACCCATGATATCCCTCATGGATTGCTATTCTGGAAGACAACGGTGTTGTACCTTGTACTCTGTAATTTTACTATCATATCCCATCCTTCACACCGAAACACAGCTATTAAAGTGCTTGACGGCAGAAACACGTATGGGAAAGAGGTACTCAAGTAGACGATTTTTGTACAGTCTGCGTCATATAGCCAAAATAGGTAAAACGGAATATTATAATTTCATCATGACTATTATTTCGCTTTGCAAACGCTATTTCAATTGTAAATATTCACACTCTCACATACGCACGAGTAACGAGTTGTTTCGTAGACATATTATATTAAAATTATTTGAAATTAGAACGTAAATCACGTCTTATTGTCAAAGAAGATGTTGCTTCGCAATATTTCGAGCAAAAAAAAAGCTTAGCTAACAATAGGAACTACAGTTTATCACACAATTAAAATGAGACTAATAGAAGGCAAATAGTATTGATTCCAAAAAGATTTATGTGAGATAAATGAAAATTAGCAACGATATCAAATAATAACATATGTAGTAAATTCTTTACTTTTCTACTTTAAAAATTATCTACTTTTAAATTCTCTACTTTTCTATTAAAATATTTAATTATATAAGTATATAAAAAAAAATTAAACCTATTTAACGTTTAAATTTGATTTCTTTTTCACTTTATTATATTTTGTCTTTTATATTCAAAATATAATAAACAGAGAAAAATCTATCCTTTGAATAAAACTATTCAATAACTACTTATTCAGATAAACTGAATACAGTTACATAAAAAACGAATTCAGAGATTTTACAAAATGAATAACTATTGAATTGCTCGCACATTGAAATAAATTTCTAAATATATATACATACATACAACACATTCACTGACATAAAAGCAATCAACATAGCAACAGAAAATTATAAACAACTCCAATAAACTCAATGTGGGAGCGACGCAATCGTCAACTTATCGTGAGGATTGTCTGCAATCTCAAGCTCATAAATGTCATTATTTATAAGGGGTAATGACCATCGCTCTACGAGTTTTAACGCTCATACTTATAATGACAATGTATTTTGCGGAAATGTTTTACATGATTTTAGTAGTAAAATTCTGAGAGAAATGAAATTTACTATGCAAACAACAATGCATTCATTTTTCATCCATTTA